CTCTGGAAAACTCCTAAACCGTAAGACTTGGAGACAAAAAAATTTTTTCATTTCCGTAACTAATTGTGCCGAACATTTATGGAAAGTTTCGTCAAGATCGGATGCACGGTGTCCGAGATAATTTCTGAGGGGGGGGGGGCCCTTAAAAGCACATCATTNCCCCCCCCCCCCCCCCCCCCCCCCCCCCCCCCCCCCCCCCCCCCCCCCCCCCCCCCCCCCCCCCTTAAAAGCACATCATTAGACGCAGTTGTTTGCGCTGATTACGAATATCAACTTTAAAACGAACGAAACTCGAAAATTCAAATTTAAAATTTAGAAGTTTTTTTATTTCAATTTTCTGACCTACTTAGCTTTTTAAAAAGTTTCAGAAAGTATATCAGTGGATAAAGAATTAAATTCTCTACAAAATGCACTATTGGCTTTGTCGAAACAATCTTATAAAACGCATTTTGCACACTAAACAAGTTTTTGCTGGTTTTTGCCGATTTTTTGCCGAATTCGAAATGGTACTTTTTTTGGAGCAATTCTACGAAAATCAAAAACACTTCTCCCACCATTCTTTTTTGCTTAGTTTGATAGAGGGCACTCGATTGCATAAGGCTCCGTGCAGATCAAGTTTATAGAAGTCTTTTTTACCGGTAGAAATATAACGATAAAACCCACCGCAAAAGAAAGCAAAAAAATGATGTAATTCCGTCACGGAGCCATTTCGCTTGTTTCTTTTCATTTAAGCATTTTTGAGTAAAAGTAAAGAGATGATTCGAAAGCTCTTTTCATGCTCTACAACTTTTATATTAGACTTTTTTTCTGAATATGTTTCGTTTTAGAGCATTTTTCAAAGTCTGTAGAGCACTAGAAAAAAAGGCTAAAAAACGTAATTCCGTCACGACACCTATTTTGCTCATAAAAATCGTTCTACTTAACCGACGCATTCGAAATTTTTACCACAAACCAAGCATTCTACCGCACATCTCTGATAAAAATTTCGTCATCTTTTGTTCAGTATTTGAGGAGAAACAGAGCCCAAAAGTTGAAAAAATGTAATTCTGTCACGCGCGTTTAAGCCGTAGTCTTTTTTGCAAGAGATTTTAGAATTAATCCAACTGTTTAAAAAATAAAGACGATTGTTAACTAAAACTCTGCTATTGTCTAGGAAATAAACTTACATTCTGAATTTTTCACCGATTGTTTTTTCTTTGACGGTTTTGATATAACCTTAATTTTTTTACTATCAAATGTACCAATTTCACCTGAATTTCTGGTAAATAATTTAACATTTAAATTGAAATGTTTTCGCTTATCCGAATCGGATATAAACAATGTTTTTGCTGCACAATATTTCTGAGAAGAGATAAACGTACGATATTTATCAGATAGTTTAACCGAAAGAATGAATTAATACATACTTTTCCTTCAAATTGCAACATTTGCATATCTTGAGATGTTGACTGTTGATTTGACGATGATGATGAGCTATTCATACACAGAAGTGGTTCACCAATTCCGATATAAGCACATAATTGTTCATCATTTGTGTCCATATCGGATGGTGTATTAAGTAAGTTATTCCATTCCTCACCCGATAAATAAACACATGGTGGCGGACAAAAGAATCTATTCAACACTAAGTATTAGTTACATATATGAACAGTTTCATAGCAAATCATCTACCTTTTTTCGTTCCCGTATGATTTTTGTGCAACTTTTGCATGCAATATTGTCAATGAACGATATCGCGGGTGTTTTAAATATGCTGTCATTACATGTTTTGGTAACGGACGCTCTTCCAGATCGTTAAGATATCTAAACATTTGGATATAATAGTAAACTTTAATTTATTATCAGACCTTCTATTCATTATTGGATTACCTGTCATCAGGAAATTCGGTTAGTGTTGATGATTTGTCATTTTGAAATGGTGGTCGTAGTGTCATGGATGATGTTATCATTTCACAAACATTCGATGAAGACGGCAATGATGTACTGTTTGTCTCGTCTAAACAAATGGGACATATTCAAACTGGTTCCGTTCGATTCACTACCTCAATCGAATGTTCGATATATAGATTGAATCTTTTTCACGCATGTCTAAACTTATGAACAAGACGATTAAAAATTTGTTCGACATAAGCGCCTCAAAGTTACGTTTTCTTGTAAACCGCAAAAAGTAGCAAAAGACAGATAAAATATTGAGAAAAACAACAACAACTTACTAATAAAATAAATTCATGATCAATTTCACTTATGTTTTCGTGTGATCACAGTGATATAGTTTCAGCATTTTTATTCTGTTAGAATATGTTTTTCTTTTATGTGTACGTTGTTTGACTAGTTCAACCATTAGAAATTGTTCAAATCTGTACGCCAGTTCGAAACATGTATTAAACTGAATATAATTGACATATTATTTCCCTCTCTTTTCTTTTTTCTTCACTTTTTTTTCTTCTCTTTAACACATTGAAAACGGTGGTAAAGGATAAAAAATTTTCCCATCATTCAAATGTATATAAGATACAGAAAATGATTGTATGAATGAGTTGAATGATTTAAGCTATCAAAGACTTTTATACATTTGCTATATAACCGACACACATTGGTAAGAATGCGCAGAAGGAAGTGAAGGAGGCGTTCAGCACACACTTTCCGTGTTTTTCCAATCTAAATTTATCAAGACTTAGTTGAACGATAGAATTGTCTTAGTTTTAAAGAATAAAGATCTCTGAGATGCGATAAACTAACATGGAAAATTTCACTCATTTCTTACTTGGACATATTTCAACTACATGGTCAGAATTATTCAAAAATATAGTTTCAAATAGATCATTAATATTCATTGCCATAATGTCTACTATCAAGTGTCGTAATTATGATAGAAATAAGAATCATAGCTTATTTATGCTAAGTAACAGGTGACATTTTGACATTTTATTTCACACATTTTATTTATGACTCACACACTGTGGATAAAATAAATATTTTGTGTAGAAAAATGATTTGAACATTATTCGAAAAAAAGTTTTATACTCACTAATTCGCGGATGTTTTTTTGTAATACGTTTGAGAATTCTCGTTCTGTTGTTTGGTTTAATAAGTGACAAATTCACTTTTTTTGGTGGTATGATGATCTCTTGATGAACAGAAGGATTACTGTCACTCATTCGTAATCTTAATGGAGTATGATAGTCAACCGATGACCGAGAATTATTTAAACCAGTGAATATTTGATGCATAGCCATTTGCATATTAAGAACGAAATGATAATCGGTCTATAAAGAAACAGAAACATGAAAATTTTATAAAGATGATAAAAACATCATGAAAAGATAAATTAATCATAAAAAATAATTTAATGTCTACTTGTTTTATATTTTAACAGACTAATGAGTGTTTTCAATCAAAGATCGGTACGGACCAGGGTTTTGATCGACCGGAATAGGAAAAAAATCATGAAAATTTAAATGACAGAGGTGTGTTAGAAGCACATTTATAACAATTTGGCAACTAAGCCTATTAGTGTTAAAGATCCAAGAGACTGTAAGCAACTGAAAAACGTCGGACCATATTCGGATCTCCACTTTTTTGTCCATGGACCGGGGCGGGTGTTTTTTAATACTGGTCAGGACAGACCTCAAGTTTTCTTGACCGGGCCGGGTCAGAAATTTTCGGCCCGTGTCGATCTCCATTTTCAGTGTATTTCTAAGATGACAGTTTGATTGACAGGACAAGCTCTCTCTTGCTCGAGAATCTTGTGAAAAATCCTGCAGGATCTTCGATTGTACGAGAATTTATAAGATGGTGAAACATGTCTTACCCATAATGACATTGCATATTGTCGCCAATCCATAAAATTATGTTTTACAAATGTTTTTTTGGCACTGTGAAAAATTTTAAGTTGAGACTGAAGTAAAGATTTCGTTCACATTACTTTTTGAATTCAATTTTTCGTTCTTTTTTTTTTGTCTCTTTTTCGTGTAAATTTGCACTTGTAAATTAGACTACGGATAATATTCTTCATACTTGGAACTATGTACATCTTCGCGTTTCTGAGTATCTTTCTAAGATGTTTGTTCAGAAAATGTTCTTGAATAAGAAGAGGCATGTATAATCATGATTATATTATTTGAATTTTTAAAGTAAATTCAATTGTTTGTTCCAGTGTAAATACTCATCATCATAGTCGTCACTGTTCCCTTTTTTTTTCAAAATATTCATTCACAGAAAATCTTTATAAGCAAACATAGCTATTTTTATCTATGAATCTCTAATTAAAAGTATGTACATATATTTATATATCTAAACCTATTCTTTAATAGTTCTGATCTTAAGAGTAAATAGAAGAAAAAAAAAAGTGTGAAGAAATTCATATACTGCTTCCTATTGATCAACTATCATGTTCGCTTTACCAGCGTACTTAATAATAATGGAATTCAACTACACAAATATTCGAACTTTGCGCATGCTTCTGTTTAACATTTTTATTTAAAAAATTTGAAGCGAGGTGATACATTTTTATATTCATTTCTTTCGAACGAAAGAGGTTCAGTCGATTTTTGTGAATGTTTGCTTGATTTGCAGCCAGTACACATGGCAAAATATAATTCTTCTTTGATGTGTTGGCGCACTGTTTTCTACAAAGAAAAAAAATTAATATTAATAAACGTTCTAATTCTCATAGATGTTCTACTGACCGTTTCTTCACTTGTTTTTCTACGTTTTTGTTTCCATCCTAATTCTAATGCTGTCACAATTAACGAAATTAGCATACCCACTGCCAATAGTAAGAAAATACCACCTATAAATAAAACTTTGATCAATAAATAGTAATCAAACTAAAACGTATATGTACCGATATTTTTTAAGTCAAGTTCGTTTGTAAAATTTTTTTTTCGATGATCAACATCCAAATCATCACAGGGAACAGGTACATTTCTTTCTTTCCACCAAATATCGTACATTTTGCTTAATATACCGTTTTCTTGCATTTTAAGTATAACATCGGATATGAGATCACGATACGGTGAACCTAGAAGATAATTATTCTTGTAGGAATCAGACGATATCGAAGAGTAAAATTAGTAAGCTCCTGAATTAAAGAGGAGACGATCCCTACTCCCAAAAACGTTTTGTCGTATTTTGTCATTTTACAAAGTTTTTGAATAATGTATTGTAGATATGACATAGAGATCAGCCGTTTTCGATATTCCATAACCAAGGCGGGGCGAACGTCTTTTCCAAGTAAAATAAATTTCAGAGTCCTTTTGAAAGTGCGGTTTTAAGAGGATCTTTGGAAAATTAGTTTGACTCTCCAGAAAGCAAAATGACAATATAATTAAGCGAGACCAACATTTCCATTGATTCGATGAGAGTTTCCAAGGTGTCCGAGACCAGTGTAAGACGTTTCGTTATAATTGATATTCAGCTAAAAATCAAAGCTTAAAAGACTTAGAACTTTTAGTTCAAAAAATCTAAAAACTTCAGAATATATGTAACCTGATGTGCTCTCCAGAGCTAGAAACTAGTTTTTTCAGCTGGTTTCCCTTTCTTGATTCTTTCTGATGTCGATGACTAACAGTAATTTTTCATGTCTCTAAAATCTAGACTTTACCATGAGCAGTACCAATTCCATAGCTTTTGGATTCTATTAGTCCTCCAACTTGCATTAATTCGCAATGTCGTTGAACATTGTATTCATTAGTTGATGATTCGAGCAGAAAAGCGTAATTTTCGGTTTTTACGCGATTAATACCCTAGAACGTTATACTCTCATGCATGTCGTTTTAATATTATTTCAATTTTATCATTTACCGCTTCAGTTGTTATCATAAACACATCAGGTTTCGATGACATATAATACCACATTCGTTCATAAAGTGGAAGTTTTGAACTCTAAAGATAGTATGTGATGCTCCTCAAATTTTCTTCAAATTTCACTCTTATGAACTACAAAAAATTATTTCTTTAATATTCTATAGAATAGAATTTTTTTAGGCTCAATCAAATTAATTCTAGCTTCATTGATTTATTAATCAGCTGTTTCATGGATAGGGAGCGTTTTGTTTTCGCTGTATCAACAACTTACTCGAAAAAACTGTTCGGTGGAGCCGCCCTTGAGTGCTCCGTATTTTATACTAAATAGAACAAACATATAAATTAGAAGGCTGTAACTTTCTTCACAACTCACTCAGTCTGTTTTGCTAATGCTTCAACGTCATCAATAGGTGATTTTAATCGCTTTGTTGTTAAAAATGCCGCTAAATTGGCAGTGTAGGATGCAATCATAATCAAAGAAAAGAACCACCATGAACCAATCAGTGTTCGGAGACACAATGATTTAGGACAATAATCGATATCTATAACAGTGAAGTAAACGATAACAAATGGTTGCCACTGTAGAAGAATCATATTTTACTTTGTTTCATTAATGATCCCACGCAAAACCAAAAACAATTCATTATTGTAAAACGATTTATTATGTAATCACTATTACGTTTACATGAATATGGGCTCTGCCATTCGTATGGTGATAATCTGGCCAAAGAAAACAAAAAAAAACTCACACCTAAAAATATACTATATAAATTACTTTAGACTGTAAAGGAATGAATTATAATTATCTTACCCACATAAGCAGCCCCCATACAGAGCCAAACTTCCAATGAAAGTGGTGCTAAAAATGCAAATAAATTGGGTTTCGTTCGTAGTGGTTTTCGAAACAATATGGTAATGCCTAAAAAACCATCCGATAGAATGTGAATGTATGATCAGATGTATTTACAACTAATTACCAAAATTCATAAAAGGTTTCGTGAAATCGATGACTTTTTCTCTCGCTGACGTAATGGTCAAAGCACCTATGCCTAAATCAGCATTCTAAAGTTGAAAATAAAACATGTCGATGCCAGTTTCAGTTGCAAAAGGTATTTTTTTCTTACTCTGTCAACAAGTTCCCCAATCATACCCGTCCATTTTCCACTATCTTCTTCTTTCCCATAGTTTCCATCACTTACCAATCGGATGGAATAATTAAAATTTAATTCTTTTGCTATATGATTCAACATATCAATACAATAACCTTCAAATTGAACGGTGCCATTTGCGGAGAAAATACGCGACACATACGGTTTCTCCTATTAATCACAAGAGGATAAGAGCTTTACGGTGCACGTTTTTTAACACATTTACCTCTCGTGTAACTACTTGTAAATGTCGTCGAATTTCTGTAACATATTTCTGACCCAGATTACTAATAGTCAAACCCTTGTCATTCCAGACATACGATCCAATCTAATTATAATCAGACTTGCTTAATATTCAACTCATAACAAAATCGACTCACTTCTCTCATTCCGTGTTGATCAATATCAAGTATTTTCAATCGTAGTGATTTTCGTATACCATCAGAATTAAAATCGACTGTACCTGTATTGCCCTGATATTTCATCTGTGAAAATGGATAAAAAATAAATTATTATATTATACTTGCAAAAAAAAAACTTGTTTGACACCATGTTTTTTTCACTTACCACATGAAACTTTTCTAATAACATTTGACCTGACTTTAGTAAAAACATTTGATCACCCTTTAAGAATGCTGACGAAGCTAAAAAGTTGTGCCAGACGCAATCTTGGGATGGGAAACTTGAGTTTGTATCTAAATTAATTATTACTAATTTGATCATTTCAAATGCGTCACTAATCAATGCTTGTTCTAGCTAAAGTAAAGAAGAAAAACATTATTCTGACAGTTGGCCGTACGCTTAGTAAGAAAAGGTTAAGCGAATTTGTCATCGGAGTACTGATACGCCCAATAAACTTTAAATGTGAACATCTCTCTTATGAACGCTTCTCCTCTTTTCTGTTTCCGATTTAATAAAAGACACCTTATTTGAGATGAAAGATTTTTCTGGGCTCTCAAGTACACTCTGTAGTGCCATAGGAGCGATGAAGTAGTAAACATCGCAGTTTTATGCTACCGACCCTCAACAATTGCCTATTACACTATTTGTTCAAATGTAACAAGCGCGTTTATTAATGTCGGGCTGTAAAAGTTTAAGTGTTCGTGTAAGAAAACTAAGTCGATGAGTTTCATTATTTTCGTGCAATACAACAGGTCTTCTACGCATAAACTTTCCAATTTGACATATATCCTTTCTCTTTGAAAAATAAGTTTTGAAATGTCTTTAAGACTGTTGAAGCAGAGGTCCAATGCTCCTTCCATGAAGTGGAACCTTAGTCATTCTAAGAATTATGATAAACTGTTCTATTTTGATGGACATGTATCTCTAGTATTGAGAGTGCACTTTCACACACAGCAGCGCTTTGAATCCTTTTAGTTACTAACGGATAAAAATATGGAAGCTTTTCCATTTTGCTCACAAGCACATCAGATGTAAAATAAGAACACGATTCATCATAAATCCAGAATATTTTCATTTTAGAGCTTCATTTAAAAAACTTTTTTTTCCATGAGAAGTTAATGTTTGATTTTGATTTTGATGATGCATTTTGTTTTGTAACTCATCTCACTCTTTAATTTCTTACTGTGAATAGATTTTATTAATTATCTTCCGTTAAAAAATTCAAGATTCATAATGCAGCTCTCAGACTTGATTAAAAAAATTCTAAAACATTTGGTTATCTTTTTGGGTTCTGGCTCGTTTTGTCACTCGGTTACAGTCAAAAAATCCATCAAACATTGATAAACTGTTCACAATGAAAGTTAAACAATCAGCGCCGCTGATTGTTTATACATACTTGTTCATACGGTATGTAATAAATAGAATATTCTCTTTATTCTTCTTTTTTTCTCTGAAATTGACTGATATGTTTTAGTAAGAGAGTGAAGTGTCATTGCTCCCAAAACGCTACAGTGCATTTATTTTGCCAAAAATAGTAACTTTAAATAGCGTTCGGTTCGAATCACTCATTCTGATTGACTAAAACATGGATAGATGTTAAACGCATTTTCCTAAGTATCTGATTAACACTGTCTTTCTATTAATAGTCGAATTAAAGTACTGACATTAATAGTTTAACATCAACTCACAAATAAATTCTGTAATTTGAGACATTTTATCAATAATCTAGGGAAACAAGAACGATGGTCAAAGCAAAGTAAAACACAAAAAATCGGTCACGCTGCAGAATAAAATTTAATGAGTTTTTTGACGAAACCATTCACACATCAATAAACAAATTTATTAGAATATTCAAAGTAAACATAAATTCAAAAATAAAACATCTTTCGACATGACTATGAAACGGTTCTTTAATTACTAGCACTTATATACTTTGTTTTCTCGTGGTCCTTTACACTCAGTTGCTCGTCTTGAACTTTTTTCTCGTATCCAGAATGATTCCATCCAGAATAGCGCAAGTTTCCCATTTAGATGAACTATGTAGCTAGTTGATAAAAAGCTTTTCGTTCAAAAGATAGATTGTTTTTTTAACAGTCTTCCAAAAAGAGGACAACACTTGGAAGGGTGATACATAAAACGAATATGGGTTCCAGATACATTTCGTCTTGTTTGATACTATTATTTAGGTTTATATAACAAAGCTATAAGTAGCTTCGGAAATCCAAAAAACTTCAACAATATATTAAGGTTGATTGACAGTTAATAATACTTACTTGACCGTCTGGTGAATGGCGAATTTTCATATCATTTGTTGCTAACTGAATACTTGTCAACTGAACATTGCTTTCCTGAAAAAAGGTCCAATTCACATGTGTTATATCCTAAAAGAGAAGAAAATAAAGATGCTTTTTCTGTTGTATATCAAAAAGGCTCTTTTTATCAAAACATACTAGTGAAGTCATTATAATATGATAATAAGTACTAATAAGTCCCAATCTTTGTGCCTGAAATGATAACCGCTTTATTATGATGTGAAAATATCAATTAAAAACGAAATCGACGTATCTATACTGATATAAACACTCACTTCATAAAGAAACTTTGTTAAGGTTTTTCCGCTAACAGCTAATAATAATTTTTTTCCATATTCTTTTGTTCGTAGTTGTTTTAGAATTGCCTCTGTTTGATTCGTTAAATTCGATGAACTTTTTAGAATAGCTTTCAATGCAATGGCTGGACGACGACCGTTACGAGTTTGCATTAATTCTTTTAATAAATTTAAACCTAAACATGAAAAATATTTGAATAGTCTATCTTTTCGTCAGTAATCATTCTTATTACTCGAGTGTTTTTCATATAAAAATATAATTTTATCCCATTCAAAATGATCTGTTAATTGTCTTAACGCTAAACTAATCATTGATAAACTTGGTTGCATTTGTAATGTAAATGGAGAATAGTTCGTATAATCATGAGGTATATTCAAATTCAAATGCGGAATGTGCATTTGAGACAATAATCGATATAAAAGTGTACCTTCATTATGTTGAAAATGAGTTATGGCTATTATATATTCACTGGTAGTTAACATAAAACATACTAGAACGAACATGGAACAATGAAGCGTCAGTCATAGTTATCATCAATGAGAGCTCACATTTTTCCAAAAGTTTAAATTCTTCATATGGACGATATATAATAGTTTCAACAAGAAGGTGTTGTTTGGTTAAAAGAGAATCTTTTGTTGTTTGATACCACCAATGTTTGTAATAGGTTATTAATGATTGAACATAATGATTTAATATTGTATTTTCATAATCAAGACACATAGCTAAACAAAGTTGATCGATGAGTCTACATGTTTAAATAGCAATAATATAAGGCTTAAGGCCTCTCCCTCCCTTAGAAATTATCTCTGACACCGTACATCCGATCTTGACGAAACTTTCTATAAACGTTAGGTACAATGAGTTACAGGAATCAAAATTATTTTTCTTCCAAGTCCTCCTGTTTAGGAGTTTCCAGAGATCAAGGTCCAAAAATGACGCCGAAGTATTTTCCGAGATTTTTTTAATACTTCAAGCTAGAGAGTTCCGGTTTGTTTTATTTTAAATTAGACACCTAACTACACGAGTTGACCGGTGCTGAGTTTTCAATTAAGCCTTTGTTCGTTTTGTAGACAACCAACAGCTTCAAAAACCTGAAAAATCCTTCCTGGTTTGCTAGAAATCCTCAATTTGACAAAAAAATCAGATCTAGTTGAAAAATCGGCGCCGATCAGCCCGTGTAGTTAGGTGTCTAGTTTAAAAAAAACTAAAAAAAAACTCTCTAACTTGAAGTATATTCAAAAATCTTGGGGAATACTTCAGGTGTAACTCCCATGTAAAGAAAACACTATAAAATGCTCAATTTTAGAACTTGTAGGAAAATATTTCTAACGTTTTGACACAAGGCCATACCGAGTTGTGCGAGGTCTTATTTTGATCAGAAAAATTGGCTGCGTTCAGAAAAAAATTTAATTGCATAAGTATCCAGGAAAAGCTATTATTTGAAGATCCGGTTTTTCCAGGCTCTTAGAAAACTTACTCGAAAATCACGAAAAATCACTTCTATAATCGAAAGCGATACAGATTCTGAAAGTAGATACTTCAGGCTATCTTTCCATGTGCCTATCTCAAAATCGATTTTTTGACCGAAAATCATCATTTCTGAGGGAGGATCTTAAAATGAATGCTGATATTGCAAACAGAACAATTTTAAACGAGAATGAAGATATACATCTTATAGATTTATACTATTCTTATATTATATTTAAGAAGAAAGGAACAGTTCAAGTTTCTTATCTAACAAGATGTTTATGTCCTTTAAAAATATAAATACATTTGGATTTTCACTACTATTCTTGGCTCTATTTCATTTGCTATAGTGTTACAAAGACTTTGTCAAGAATAGATGATATGATTTTGGAACTGAATTGAATGAGAAAAATAGCATAATTTTGTCAAACTATAATTTTCCATTCGGTTAATTTAGATAACAGTAAATTATAATATTTAAATACTGATGAATAATTTTCAATCGTGTATAAATTCTTGACATTACCTATTGTAATATTACGTTCTGTTTGATAGCAGTAAGAGAAGTGTATAATGAATAATGATGTAAAAACTATGAAAATAATTTTAATCATATTTCTTAAGAGCTCGAATACTAACTAATACTAACAATATTAAAAATCATTGAAAATATACAATTATGATGAGCAAGCATGTTTTATTCGTTTCTTTTCTTTTTCTCTTTCTTTTTTTTCTCACACACAAAAAAGAAAAATTGTCGAACAAAACTCTATTTTAGCCTACACATACAACAAAAGTCAATTGTAATAAAACTCGTTTAATTGTTTTTTCATCTAATTTTACATATGATTCGTGTTAAAGAAAAAATATATAGGATAACATAAGTGGTACAATATTAATGATAGAAATGACTCTATTCTAATAGCAAATATTAAAATTATCTAAGTATTATAATTAAATAATTTTTTATTTTAAAAAATTAAAGAAAAATATTTTACAAAATAGTTGAGGATAAGTTTATCAATATTAAAAATATATTAAATTGTTTCAATTGAGATTATTCTATCAGAAATTAAAAACGAAAGTGGATATATGTTATTTTAAGTAAATAAACTTATGAGAAATAGCTGAAATATATATATATATATATATATATATTTATTTATTTATTTAATAGTTTCCACACCCTCTCTATCGTCAAAAATGATGGATGAATATTGAATTATAATTATTATTTCACTTTCTTTATCTATGATAATCTTTATCTTTTTTTTTTTCTTTTTTCTTCATCTCTCTTGTTATTCCTAGATTATAGTATTGTTATAACAAAAAAAAGAAAAAAGAAATTGTTAACATGATCGCTAAATTTGATTAGTGCGTCTATAATTGAATTTTGACTATCAGTCTTTTTCAATTCTTTTCTTTTTTCTGCTTGATAGTAGTAGAAAATAGCTTTCTTGCACAGTTTCATTTCAAAAGAAAAATATTGAATTTCAGGAAGTCTTAACTATACTTGTACACTCCCTTACGTCAAACTAGTCAACACAATCATCTCTCATGTGAAGAATCTTAGTAGTTCGATCGAATATGATCTAACTATTAACACTCTCTAACAGGATAGGTGAGAATAAAAAAAAAATAACTATAGAATGTTTTTCTGATCAAATATAGTCATTTTTTCAAATATATGTCTAATTACAATCACTTGACAGGAAAAATGTTGAAGAATAAAAAGAAGTGTCAATTTTATTAATATCATTTTTCTTAAATATTTTTTTTGAGATCAGATTAATTCCTTCAATATTAGAGAAAAACCAAAAACAATTGTGGATAGAGTATGAAAAAGATACATTTTTGAATATTGTTCATCCAAACTTCAAGATCTATACTCAAGGTACTTGTATTATTTTTGTTTAAGTGGATTAAGTGTCTAATAAAACAATCACAAGCTGCCAATGTGATTCTTTTTTTCATCAATACTTCATAATCTAATTTTTCTTTTATTTACACATATAACTGAATTATAAAATAAACAAACTACAGTTAAACTAAAATGTTAGTTCTGATGTATTTGAAGTAATCTTTGTTGAACCGTCTAATGTCAATATGTGTTGATATTTCGCTCGTGTCGATGTTAGCAATTCAACATAACGAGGTGTATTTGGTATTAACGAACGAAATTCTTTACATGAATCTATAATACCGTTGATCAATCGTCTTTGACTTGTTTGATTTTCTGATAATTTTCTTAACTTATATTCACAATCGGCATATATAGCAGCTGTATCGTGATGGTTTTTTAATGCATACTCTAAACCTTGTTTAAAACCTTGATGATAGCCCTTTTTGTAACCATATTGACGTCCTTCATTTACACCAGTGTTAGTTGAACGTTCTTCTATGGTAGACGCATATTCTAGTGGGTCTATAGAATCAGAATCGATCATTCTGCTTTATCTGAAAAAGAAAAACAAGCAATGTTCCTCATGCTAATTTTTTCGCTTCTTTGATTGAGTACTATACAGAATATAGATGAGTCTTGAAAACTGAGATGCTGTTGTTAAATTCTTACAAACAGATAATTTTAAAGTAGACACGAGAACTATCGAAAGGTTGAAGCCATTATTTATATCTTTTTAAGTACTACGAATAACAGTCAATTTTATTTATCGGTTAATATGTCTTCACACTTCTGGTTGTTGATCAGCATCAGATAATTTTTTACATCTTCTCTACTTTCTTTTTTTCACTAAATCTCTTTATCCGTCTACTTACATCTTTCAATCTACGGATCTAGGCTAAGAACAATAAACAAACAAATACAGATGTCAAATTAAGGATTCTAGACTCTCTCTTTTCGATTAGATTAGAGAAACAAAGTTTATATGTGATTTTTCTATGTCTAATAAACTGAAAGTTTTCAACATCATAAATGATTGATCTCGTTAATATATTCAGAGAAATGACAGTCTGAAAACGTTAAATGCTACATCTGTAACAGTTCAAAATGATCCTTGTTTCATTTTACTAGATGATCGCTCGTCTGCTTCTTTTTGTTTTAGATTTACTAGTAGCATTGGAGACAAAAGTTCTTATCAGCACGCACAGAATCGACATGCATGATCTTTGTGACCAGGAGGATGTTGCAACAAGCATTTTCTATAGACATTAAACAGCAGAGGTTTCCGAACAATGGCAACTATTCAGGATAAAATAAAAGTAAAAAGATTATTGTAAATAAACTAATAAAAATAAATTGGGCAAATTGAAAAAATGTGATTATATTGTTTCCAATAAACTCGTTTTTCTACTGCTGTTGAATAATGTAGATGCCAGTATTGACTAATAGATGAAAACGAACTTGAAACAATTGGATTTTTTGTAACTATAAATAAAATATAGTCAAAGTAGATGTAAGAGGGCAAATATCAAATCTACCATATTCATGAAATTAATTTTTTAGTGCAACAGTATTGTATCGATTAATATTCCAATAATTACATTTAACACAATATTGAGTGAAATAAATCGCTGAAAATAGCCATAATTTCCTGAAGATATGAACATCACTGCTTTCATTACTCAAAGCATTCTCTCTGACCATAAATCTATCTCAATGTTCAATTCTCTGTGTGTAATTAAACTAAATGACACTTGACTGATCAGATCTACTATCATTCTAGTACAAACCGTAGTGACAATAACGCGCGAGAGGTATATATCCATAAACTGATATTGTATGTCATGAAAAGAGTTTTTCTTTCTCGATTAATCAGTGTTTCTTATTATTTGTTAATTATACATTTTTGATGATGGAAAATATCATACAGAATTGCAATAATTGTACGAGATAATTTATGTATTATTACAATAAACAACCAAGAAGAAAGTGGAATAATAAAAATGCAAAAGAAGAAGGGGGTAATCAATTGACAATGTTTCATCTGCGTGATCTACTTAATAATGAAATGGCATGGAACGATGTTAAAAATTCAAGTGCTACGAGATACGCGTCAAAGACAAGCGAAGATAATGATAATGATATAAATAAAACTTCTGAACTTGTGCATAATGAAGCAATGCAAAAATCAAAAAAGCTGATAGAAAATTCGATGATGAACGAAATGTCTCCAATGTGTTTAAACACAGATACGGTCGAAACGATAAACCAACAACAAAGTTCGACAAATAGTAAACTTCAGTTCGTTGCCAATAATCAACTTACAGCAATGTCATTTCGTAAACAAATCCCAACGACACACAGATCATGGTCAACAGAAGACACTCAACATCGACATCATGTACAGTTACAACAACAACATTATCAAAAAACAGTGAAGAGTGAAACAAGACCGGTTGATTCAGTAAAAATCAATTTTAATAACCAGCCAGATGAAAAATTACATGATGCATCAAATTATAAACAAATATATCGAGATCTTGAACGATTTCAAAAACAAATACGAGAAACAACCGGTTCAATAACAATACGAGAATATAGCTATATGGCAAACGAATGTAGATGTGATAAACAGAATGACGATGAAACGGAAGAAAAATTGTCAAGTATTGAAAAAAACAAAGATTTTATTGACTACGAATATATTATCTGACAAATTAATAACTGTTTTGAAATTGCTATCAACGTTCGAAAATGGCGAGACTGTCTGATACTAAAGTGGTGTAGTTATCAACACGCTGTTGATTATAAAATTTGTCAAGTTAAAATAGATGTTAAAGTGGAGTAAGTCTGAATCTGGAAGAGATAATGAGTCATCTATCTATATATTTTTAACAATAACGGATGTCACATGTTCATTCTGCCTAAGAACCACAATTTTCTTGTCACTTCTAAATATCACCATTGCTACTCGGAAAGTACTTGATCTCTGATGCGACTTTGAACATCCATTCTTAGACCAGTCATTGCATAAATATAAAACAATGAGACAATATAAAAATAAGATTATTGTGTGAATAGAAAAATCACTGATAGCGCGAATAATAAAAAAGGTTGTTTCTACAAAAAAAAGCGTGATAAAAATTATATAACAATATAGAGCAATAGCTCGTATAAAAAAATCTGATTGACTAGGTTGAAGAGAGAGAGAGTGTGTATGTTTCTGCTTTTTATCGCAGTTAAGAAGAGTTATCGGAAGACTTGATTGATTACTCATTAATTGCACTAAAAAATAGAAATAGATCTTGTCCATGCTTATAATACATTAATAATGCAAGAAGGGAGAAAACAAACGGTAGGTTAAAAGTAAAAATATTAATCTGTCTCTTCAAAACCTTCTTCGCTTAACTTTTTAATTATCAATCGTACCATTCTCATACAATCATAACAATCTTCTTGATACGAATCATGCCGTGAACAATGATCAACGTTATCATGATAGCCAGGAAGATCTTTTATTCGATTAAATTTTTCATTTGCCGTCGTTATTTTTCGTTTATATGCATCCAAAACTGTTTCTAAATGTTTTATTCTCGCTGTCAGTAGTAAATTGATTGTCTTTGTTGTCAATTCATTTAATCTTTGATCACTTGGAGTTATTAACATATTCAAATTTAAATTATGTTTCAAATGATCAGCACAACGTCGAACAACATCTTCAAAATTATATTTTTGTGCTAGTAACAAACTATCGATTGTACCACGTTGTTGCATTAAATATGATTGGCAACGTTTTGTTAATTCAACCATTTGATATTCCTATGGAAAAAAACAAAGAGGTACAAATATAAGATCAATGAAACTGAAGATAAAAAATGAAAATAAATTTTAAACATACGTCAGCCAACTCGAGCAAGCGTTGACAATTTGTTGCAACAATTGCTTTGTTTGGTGGATAAATGACCGATAATAATTCTTTGATATCCTCACACAATTTACCAGGTAAGCTAACTTCTTGAGAGTCTCGTTCTCGGAAGTTCGACTTAAACATTGTATCAAATACCGGACTCCATATGGCTAATATTGCACGATTACAATACAGTTTTTTATCCTCAACGTTCAAAACGACATCATATAATGGTGTTGGCTTAGTAAAATCAAAGGGTTCCATCTAAAACTCAAAATGTAAAGAAATAATTAGAATGTCATCTTCCGAAATCTTTTTTAAGTAATATACTGACGTTAATATAAAAGGAGGACTTAGTACATACAACTAAAATCATCTCGAGCTATGGAAGACACGTTGGCAAGCAAAACACCATGTAAATATAAGCGTTTTAAGCGTTCATCTACATTATCAAATTCTTTTTACCTTACTGTTGTCTCTTCTGTACATTTGAAATACTGGATAAGTTTATGTGAGCAAATTCTCCTTTATCATATTGTCTCTATCTTTGATGTGGTAATACTGTTGTGAACAAAAGTTATCATCGGCATGAACAGAAGCGACTATTGGATTCTTGTGAGAGAGAGAGAAAGAGAACATCGCAGTTGGCATGTCTTTCTTGATCAAAGGATGGATGTGAAAGTGCGGGCGTTCAATAATCATTGAAACATTTTTTTATACGGTCCCTCGCAAAAGATTTTTCTCAGTCTAGCGAAAATTTTTCTTTCAGAGTGAAGAATAAATTGGATTTTGGTTAATAACAGTGCAGAGTAATCATCATAATTTCAACATAATAACCAAATGATAATGTTGATAACAATCTGAGTTTTTTTCTTATTGAAGAAAAGTGGAAGACAAATTTTGCACTCAACTATTTCGCGAGACAAAGTGGAAGAAAGTATGTGTTTGTTAAATTTTGATTAGATTGGTTACCAAATCTGGGCAAGAGTTCAGATGAAACCACGGCACTCAGATTGGCCACGGCACTGGCAAATATATATATAATGACAGCAGATGATTTATTCCCTTGACTTTAGTCTAGGATCTTACAAAATAGTTGTCTGTGATACAGACAACTATTTTGTACACTCACAGATAGACTCTGTGCACTGTAAATTCATGTACCCCATTAGTGGGTGACTGCGCTAATTCATTTAGAAAAGTGGGTGAATTTCATCCACATTAGTGGGTGACGGTCACCCATCTGATTAACAGTTTTCACTCTTTTAAGTGG